TGCATAACTTTCTCTTGGAACGGAATTCAAGTTTTGAATGCAATGAAATTGATAATTCCAACATTAAAATATTTGACTTTATTGATGTTGTATTATATAATATAGGTGGCAATTAATGCCTGTTATAGTCTTTTCAGATTTTTACAATAATATAAATTATAATAACTGACTATGAATTGATGATGACTCATGATCATAAAATTGAAGAATAAACAATTTTATGATCATGAGTCTTGTCTTTTTTACTCCTAATATTATGCAGATAAGCCTTTTAGATATTTTACAAGGTTTGCTAAAGAACTAACATATTTCTTAATTTAAAAATGTGAATTGTTACTTTAATAAATTTGAAAATTTAGTTTAAAACTGTATTCCTAAAAATTGCATTGACCGATTTTTCTATCATATAGATGTTTCATTTCTTATTTAACTTTGGAATTGTTTCATATGAACTTATCGTGGACTCGCCCTGGATATCGTGCATTTGTGTTAATGATGCGGTACTTGTTCACGATTCGTATGTATTTTATAGTATTTTAATTTTATTTGTGAACAATAGATGTCGCTAGTAGTAGATTACCTCGCGGTATGGTTCGAGGTTTATTAATTGCATAAGGCGTTTGTGTGCTTTATAAAAAAGTTGCGCCCTCCTTTCTGCCAAGGAGGGTCGCGTTCGTATACGGCTTAGAGATCTCTAGTCAGATCGTTAAGCCATTTCCTAAAAAGGCGGTGTTTAGTGGGTAAAAGTCTCAACATAACCACGCAGCCGGCTGCGTGGTATGCTATGAGCATTCACCGCCTCCCTCCCCCGCTTTCCGGAGGGTTGCCCATATTTGCTTCGGGCGCAAAAAAAAAAGTGAACGATATTAGAAGAAAGTAATACATATACGTAATCAAGATATCTGTTGGTTTTATTTAAAAGTACCAATAGATATTTAGCCCGCTACGTACGACCGTTTTCATGGTCTATCGTAAGCCGGAAGGAACTGTCAAGGACAGATTTTTGTAATCGGTGGTTCCGGATTGGAATCACACCCCCCGCACCCAGAAGTAGTGGATTGCTACTTATAAGGTGTAGCTAGCTCGTAGAAGTCGGTAAGAAGCTGTCGTCACGGTGGGCGGAAGTTGTTCACTGGTAGACGGCAGGCGGTGTTCCAGTGGAAATCGTCAGGAGAGGTGCGCGGGGAGGCGGAAAGGTGAAGTTGCAGTGAGTGAAGTGATTAAGTGTTTACTGCGGAAGCAAGAGTGAGTGGGACAACCAATCGTGAGTACAATTTCGGTAATTTAAACTTTTTGTGCAATTGGAAAACAGTTCATTTAGTAGTTCAGACTTAGAGTAATTTTAAGAAATTTGGTTCATACGAGGAATCTATGCCCGATTTCATTTCAAGTCTAAAACACTTGTAAAATTTTATAAATTTATTCGTAGGACTTAGAAAATTTTTGTGATCTTATAAAGACACTTGTAAATTTTTCAAAGTTTATTATATGGACTTAGAAAATTTTTGTGATCTTATAACGACACTTGAAAATTTTTCAGTTTATTATATGGACTTGTCATTTTGAAGAGTTTATTTTGCCTCAAATATAACTCGATTTCATGTAGTTTTTCAACATTAAAATATTTATTTTATTTTTAAAACTTTATAACAATTTAAAAAATGCAGGCTTTATTTAAAGTACAACAAGATGTTGAAGTTAGAATAAGAAATGCTCAAATGAATTATAGTAAATCACCTAAAGATCGTATTAATCAACAGTATATTGAAGCTAGATTAGGAATATTAGAAGCATTATGGTCGAAGTTTTTAACAACTCATGATTGCTTAATAAAAGGTACAAAACAGGATGATTTAAAGGATATTGAATATGACGATTTATATGATAAAGTAGAAGAGTGTTATGTAGAATATAAATGTAAATTAACAACTGATTTAGCTAAATATAATGTTGAGAAAAATGATCAATATAGTTCTAAAAATAATGAAACTGAGTCAAAAGGCTCGTTGGTTAAGTTACCAAAAATTACTATTAACCCGTTTCCGGGAAAGTATACTGAGTGGCCCACTTTTAGGGATTTATTCACGTCTTTAGTACATAATAATACATCCTTTGATGATGTACATAAACTTAAGTATTTAAAGGGTTTTTTAACAGGTGAAGCCGAGCAATTAGTCAGGCATATACCTATTACCGAATTAAACTACAGTCAGTGTTGGGCATTATTACAAAAAAGGTATGATAACAAAAAATACCTAACAAATTGTACTTTAAAACGTTTATTTAACCAAAGGCGTATGAATGTAGAATCTGCCAATGGGTTAAAGGACCTATTGGACACAACGTCTGATTGTTTAAATGCGTGAGAAACCTCAACATTAATGTCGCCACCTGGAATATTATTATTATATACATACTTACAGATAAATTAGATCTTGAAACCCGTAAGCAGTGGGAGTTAAATATATCGAGTGACAGTTGCACAGAATTACCTACCTATGAACAATTTTCGAATTTTATAGAGGGTCGATTTAGGGCTTTGGAATGTTTAGACAATAAAAAACCTACATTTCAACACAATCGACCATCACACGCTCAGCATTTACACTCACACACTCATCATGCAAACATTCTGTCATCAAAAAATATTCAATGTGAATATTGTACAGAAAACCATAAACTATGTTTTTGCAAGAAGTTCGCAAAGGAGGAATACAATAAAAGACATGAATTTGTTTTAAATAATAATTTATGTCTAAATTGTTTAGGACGTAATCACTCTGCAAAATATTGTAGAATAGATTTTTCTTGTCGTATTTGTAAAAAGCGGCATCAATCACTTCTTCACCCTAAATTTACACCAGTCGTACACAGTGGGCAAACAGACAAGGCCGTTACTAAAAATGAAAAAAGTGTAACGGCTAGTAGTTCAACCGAAACAACGCCAATCGTATCCCGCCTTTCGACAGGAAAGATCATTAGACAGGTTTTGCTAGCAACAGCTCTAGTGAAAGCTAAGTGTAAATTTGGCGATTTCAAAATTATTAGAGCCTTGCTCGATCAGGGCTCACAAGCATCGTTCGTTACTGAAAACACAGTTCAATTATTAAAGTTAAAAAAAGATACCGGTGAAGGGAGTTATTACAGGACTAGGCGGTAATCAGTCTTCGGTGGTGTCGAAGTACATGGTTTCTATTAAAATTCAATTACTGTCTGATCCCAGTTTTCCCCTTGAAGTGAAAGCTTATGTTTTAAATAATATTACTACTTACCTACCTGGTAAAAAGGTTGCCTATTTACCTTGGGCTGAAATACAAAATGTTCAGTTGGCAGACCCAGAATATTATTTACCGAATAAAATTGACATTCTGCTTGGTGCAGACATTTACTGCCAGATTTTGAAGAAAAGAGTAACGAGAAGTCCTACTGGAACTCCTATTGCACAATGCACTACCTTAGGGTGGATCATTTCTGGTCTTGTAATGTCTGAAGATTGCGACAACTCACCAGCAGTTACAGTACTGCACTCTCAGATCAAAGAAGATGAAATTCTTAAAAAATTCTGGGAAATAGAATCAGATCAATCAGGTATATCTAAAAGGATACTTACCGAGGAAGAGCTGAAATGTGAGGGGATTTTCGCAGCGACGACGACAAGAACAGCAGAAGGTCGATATGTGGTGAAATTACCGTTTCGTGATGAAGGTCCATCCTGTAAACAAGGTGGTTCACGAGAGATAGCTGTGAAAAGATTGTTAGCCTTAGAGAGGAAAATGAAGGATGAAGAATTTAGAAACAGATATACAAAGGTAATTCAGGTATACTTGAATTTGAATCATATGAGGCCAGTAGATAGTAAAGAAGAAGGAGTGTACTTACCACATCACGCGGTTGTAAGAGAGGACAAGGCCACCACCAAACTTAGGGTAGTCTTTGATGCATCTACTAAAAACAAAAATGGCGTTTCACTAAATGATGTTTTAATGGTCGGCCCTACTTTACAATCCGACTTGCGTCACCTTGTCTTACGCTGGAGATGTCACCCAATAGCAATGGTAGCTGATATTATAAAAATGTACCGACAAGTCCGTGTTACTGATGAAGATGCGGCATATCAGCGAATAGTCTGGAGAAATAATCAGGAAAGTAAAATCCGGGATTTCGAGCTGGTAACGGTAACTTTTGGTACGGCGTCTGCTCCATATTTGGCCGTTAAGGTTCTGCAACAGTTAGCGATTGATGACAGAAAGAAGTATTTTCATGCAAGGAATATAATATTAAAAGATTTCTATATGGATGATCTTATGACTGGCTGTGAAACTGTAAAAGAAGGAATTGAAATATATAAGGAAATGAAAAAATTATTAAAGGGAGGAGGTTTTGAATTACAAAAGTGGAATAGCAATAAAAACGAACTACTTAAAGAGATAAGGAAGGATGAGGATAGAGAATGCATTGGTTGGAGTATGATAGATGAGAATAAAGAAAGGGAAGATCTAGAAATAAAGTTAGATTCTACAATAAAAATATTGGGACTTACCTGGAGTCGCAGTAATGATGAGTTCCATTTCTCGGTGCAGCTTCCGGTTCTGGTCAAACCTGCAACAAAAAAGACGTATTATTTCAGGCATAGCACGGTTATTCGACCCATTGGGCTGGATAGCACCTTGTATTGTAGTAGCGAAATCATTTATACAAAGGCTATGGCTAACTGGTCTAGAAGGGGATGCAGAGGTTCCAATGAAATTATTAAAGGAATGGCTAACTTACCCTGAAGAGTTACCACTACTCACGAAAACCGATATTCCTCGATGGTGCGGAACAAAGACAACTGATTCAAGTGTCGAATTGCACGGGTTTTCGGACGCTTATAAACAAAATTGAAAGCAATATCAGCAAAATTATAGAAAATAAAATAAAGAGACTAACCGTGGAAATCACTGATCTAAAGGAATCTGTTCTTTTCATTACTAACCAATACGAGGATTTAAAAAAAGGATATGCAAGTAAAATTTAAAGATGTAAAACAACTAAAAGAAGAAAATGATTGCCTTAAATCAACAGTAAAAAACCTCAATAGTCGCTTAAGCATAATGGAGCAGCATTCAAGAATGAGCAACCTAGAGATACAATGTGTTCCGGAACATAGGGCCGAAAATATACCTAATATTATTACACAAATAGGGAAGATTACTGGCACTAAAATATCCGATGCTGATATCCATAAATGTACAAGAATCGCCAAGATTAATCCAGAAAATGCACGACCACGGTCTATTATTGTGAAGTTTGCTTGTCCATGGGTTCGTGATACATTCTTGGCCGGAGTAATAAATTTCAATAAAAGAAACACCAATGAAAAACTAAATACGGAGCTGAAGAAAATCCACGCCCTTGCCAGAGCGACAGCAAAGAAATTAAAATACAAATTTGTCTGGATTAAAAATGGTCGTGTCTTTTTAAGAAAAACCGATAATACTGAGCATATTGTCGTGCGTAACATTGAGCAGCTCGAAGATTTACAATAGTAAAGTACTTATCTGTTTAGTCTCTTATCGAAATTCTGTTTAAATACGATAAATTAAATATATATTACCAAAATGTAAGGGGGATTCGTAGTAAGACGCATGATGTAAAACTTAACATATTATGTAATGATTTCGACATCTTAATTTTTACAGAAACTTGGCTTAATGACGGTGTGTTCGATAGTGAGTTTATTGATGATCGCTATACGGTATACAGGAGAGACAGGGAGCAATTAGACTCAAAAAGAATCAAAAATGGGGGGGGGGTGTAATGATAGCCGTTAAAAATACCTTAAAATCAAGCCGTTGCCTGCATTGGGAGAGTAACTGCGAAGATTTGTGGATTACGGTTGATGCAATTATAGATGGTAAACCAAGTCATGTTCATCAATCTGCGTAGTATACTTGCCACCTCCGATGAATAGCAATGTGCTAAGCAAATTCTTAGAAAATGCGTCCAAAGCTATTAATACTAATGAATACGTCATGCTAACGGGGGATTTTAATATTACTAGTATTGCATGGTCGAAAGTACCGGAATTAAATTGTCTACACCCCGTTAGTAGTTCTAACTTAGCGTCTAGTTTTGTTGATTTTATCGAGGAACACAATTTAAAACAATTCAATTCAATATTTAACGCAAATGGTAGGTTGCTTGATTTGGTTCTTTCAAATCATACTCATGTGACAGTTAGTCAAAACTTCAATCCAATCAGCATAATCGATAATCATCATCCATCACTTAACCTAAAGCTTTTTTCTTGAAGATTAATACGATCAATGCACAGCTTAATGAAAGGTACAACTTCTTTAGAGCAGATTATGAGGCCATTAATAAAGAATTAGATGGTACAAATTGGTCAGAACTATTACTTAACTGCGATTCAGTTAACTCAATGCTTAATGAATTTTATCATAAATTAAAATCAATAATTGAAAAACACGTGCCAAAGACTAAGCCTAAAAGTACAAAGTTTCCTTTATGGTATAATAATAAATTAATTTATATGTTAAAAATTAAAAATAAATATCGAGTAAAAGGTAGAATTTACAATAATAAAATTTAATATATTATACACTACAATAATTTCCCTTACTCTTTTCATTTAATCTATTATATGATATTTTATATATAACTTTCACTTACTTTTATTTGTATGTATTATTGTGTTTTTTTTGTTATTATTTTGTATGCCCCCCTCTTTTTGTAACTTTTGTTTGCATCATTCCTCTACGCAAAGGTTGTCTGGAAGAAATCACTTTCAGTGATAAGACCGCCTATTGTACATACTTTAATTAGTTTTAACTGTATTGATGTTTCTGTATTGTGGTGTACAAAAAAGAATAAATAAATAAATAAATAAAATAAATAACCCTCTAGACATACTCAAATTTAAATCACTAAGGTTTAGCTGTAATAAATTAATTAAAGCATAAAGCATATAAAGTCTTCCCAGATATGTGGAAACTTGCAAGAATAGTGCCTGTGTACAAAAAAGGGAATAGAGATAATATTGCCAACTATAGACCCATATCAATATTATCAGTTGTCTCTAAGATCTTCGAATCCTTAATCTCGCCTATATTGACACGCCATGTCCTCCACGCCATCTCAGACACCCAACACGGATTTATGACATCTCGATCTACTGTCACAAACCTTTCATGTTTTTTGAATTTTATAACACCCTACGTTGACTCACGTTTTCAAGTAGATGCTATCTACACCGATTTCTCCAAAGCCTTCGACAGGGTGAATAACCAGTTGTTAATAGCGAAATCGGAGGGCCATTACTTTCGTGGTTCGCTTCATATTTAAAAGACAGATTTTCATATGTAGTGATCAGAGGCTACTTTTTTCAGAAATATGGGTGCACCTCGGGAGTGCCTCAGGGATCCATATTAGGACCCTTATTATTTAATATTTTCGTAAATGATGTAACTAATTGTGTACATAATTCAAAATGTTTCATCTTTGCGGACGATCTGAAACTCGCAAAAGCAATTCTAAACGATTATGATGCACAATCTCTACAAGAAGATGTCGATATAATTGCTCGTTGGAGCAAGTTAAATGGCATGGATCTCAACGCTTCTAAATGTTCATATATCAACTTTACGTGTAAGCATACTGCATCAGAAACCCAATACACGTTGAACAATAATCCAATTCAGAAGCTTGAATCCATCAGAGACTTAGGAATTACAATTGATGCTAAATTAAGATTTAATATTCACATTGAAAATATTTGTAGATCGGCACGCAAAATGATCGTGTTTTTATACAGGAATTCAAAATGTTTAAAAAAAATCAAAACAAAAAAACTTCTTTACACTTCCTTAGTTAGAAGTAAATTAGAGTACGGCACCATCATATGGAACCCTATTATCAAATACACAAAGATCGTATAGAAAGCATTCAAAGACTATTTACTCAATATTGTTCTAGTAGTAATCATATGAAATCTTATTCCACTCGTCTCCTAAAACTAAAATTAAACTCACTATCGGACAGACGTAAACTACATGATTTAGTTTTTTTGTACAAGCTTACAAATGGGACTATAGATTCTGCAGAATTACTATCACAAATATTGTTCAAAGTTCCCTGCCGTGTGCCGCGTTTTTCGATTCCCTTACTCAAACACAAATTGTATAAAACTAATCTTGGTCATCACTCTCTTATACCGAGAATAAGCAGATTATATAACGAATGTGTCCTTAAAGATAAGACTATTGACTTATTTAACGATAGTATAAAATCCTTTAGAGCCAAAATTGTCAATCTATTTAAAAACTCATAGTAAAAATTATGAGTACCATATCTTTATATAAACTCGATATAAATGTTGTTATTTTTATATATTTTTATTTTTCATATATTTCGTAAGTATTGTCTAATTGTTTTTGTTTGTTTTATATCAGTATTTTACTCGTACTTGTAATAATTATTAAGTTATCGTACAGTTATCGTCTTTTTTAAACATGCTGTAACTACCTTTAAATGGAAACATGTAAATCTTAGTTCCTAAGCCTATGGTCACATATTTTTAAAACAACATGTTATTCCGTTGGTGGTTCTATCAATAAATAAATAAATAAATATAGCATATGCAGCAGTCATGTACATTCGCATAATGGACAGTAAAGGCAACGTTTACGTGTCCCTCTTAGCTGCTAAAACGAGAGTCGCTCCCATAAAAAGAATTAGCATTCCTCGTTTAGAGTTATGTGGTGCTGTACTGCTGACTCGCTTGCTATTAGAAGTCGCAGAAGTTTTAAAAATTCCTTTGTATAATGTACGAGCATGGACAGATTCAACTGTTGTGTTGGCGTGGTTAACGGGTCATCCTAGTCGTTGGAAGACTTTTGTTGCCAATCGCGTTTCGGAGATCCTAACATCACTAGATTCGAGTCATTGGGCTCACATAAAGTCGAGAGACAATCCGGCGGATTACGCATCACGAGGCCTTTTACCATCAGAGCTAATCAGTTGTAAAACATGGATGTCTGGTCCAAAATTTCTCACAAATAAGACGGTAGTCTATGAGAAACCATTGGAATCAGATATTCATTTAGAAGAAGCCATAACATCTCATGTAACTTCAATTGATGTTTCCATATTAGACCGATATTCTAGTCTCAGTAAGCTACTTAGAGTTGTAGCGTATTGTAGGCGTTTTAAAAGGGCTTTAAAAAGATATAAGAATACCGAAGCACATACAAAATATTTGAGGAAGAAAGAATTGGATAAAGCATTAATGTGTTGTATAAGACTGTGTCAAAAACAAGAATTTGCTGAAGAATATGCAGAGATTGAGAAAAGGGCTAATGTGCAGGCAAAGAGTAGTAAAATAAAGTCTCTGTCGCCTTACTTAGATAAAAATAAAATTTTAAGAGTTTACTATAGGATGCCAAACATCCTATAGTACTGCCACATAATTCTAATTTAACCAGATTAATTATTTCTGATGCACACCATAAGACTTTACAATTAATGCTAAATTATTTGCGATCCGCTTATTGGATAGTTGGTCTAAAGAGCCTAGTGAGGCAACATATTCGCAGATGTGTGACATGTATAAGACAAAGGGCCAATACGAAAACCCAACTGATAGGTCAATTACCACGAGTGCGTGCTACTCCATCTAGAGCATTTCTCTATAGTGGGGTCGATTATGCTGGTCCAATAAATCTAAGAGTTTCGAAAGGGCGTGGACACCGTGCATATAAGGGTTATATTTGTCTTTTTGTGTGCATGGCAACTAAAGCCATACATTTGGAGGTGGTCAGCGACATGACTGCCCAAGCATTTATTGCTGCTTTTAGACGGTTCGTGTCTAGAAGTGGTCACTGCGCGGCATTGTGGAGTGGTAACGGTTCGACATTTATTGGTGCAGCTAAAGAGCTAAAAGAATTACGTGACACTCAGGAAACAGTAGCCAAAAATTTAGAAATAACTGGTACAGAATGGCATTTTATTCCACCCCATGCTCCCAATTTTGGTGGATTATGGGAGGCAGGGGTGCGATCTACAAAACACAATTTAAAAAGAATTGTAGGAAATTCCACCCTCACATTCGAGGAAATGACCACACTCCTCAATCAGGTAGAGGCAAGCTTAAATTCTAGGCCTTTAACGGTTGTAAATACTGGTGATCCAGGAGATCCGGTCCCTTTGACTCCTGGTCATTTTTTAGTCGGGGAACCATTAGTATGTGTAGCTGATGCCAACTATGAAAATGTAGACATTAGTCCCTTGAATAGGTGGCATCTAGTGCAAAGAATGTTGCAGCATTTTTGGCGTAGTTGGTCCCAGGAATATCTTACATCTTATTTACACCGTCATAAATGGACTTTGCAGCATCCTGAGCCCCAAATCGGGGATGTCGTCTTAATAAAGGAAGATGATTTGCCTCCTACTCACTGGTTGCTAGGTCGAATATTACAAAAACATCCCGGCCCCGATAATATCACTCGAGTGGTTACATTAAAAACTA